AGCGGCGCATGGTCCGGCCCCCGCGCCCCAGCCCGCGCCGCCGCCGCCGCGCGTTCCCGCCGGTCCTGGCAGCCCCTTTGTATGTTTCAGGCCCCAGATGCGCAGCCTCCAGCCACCGCCGGAGGAAGTCTGGGTGCAGCGGAAACAAGGGAGGGGGCAGCCGCCAGATGTGGCCTGCTGGGCTGGGAGGGCGCGGGCTGCGCAGGGAGGGGGGCGCGCTCAGGCCCGCCCCGCGCCGCCCCACCCCCCACCCGCCCTGCGCCCTCCCTCTCTTCTCTCCTCTCCCCGCCTGTGAGCCCCGCCGCCCGCCGCTCCTGGCCTCCGCGTGCCCCGGCCCGTGCGCGACCTCGCCACCCCTGCCTCCCGGCTGGGCGCCCAGCCTCAGGGCCCCCTGCGGGGAAGCAGCCCGCGCGACGCCTCTAGACTCTCCACGTCCTGAGGTTGGGGAGCCGCGGTTCTCGGAGGGACGCCTGCGGTGGGGGCGAGGGCAGGACGGCCTGCAGGTCCAAGATGGGGAGGCCGACTCAGAAACAGATGATCCGCGGCGCTGATTGTCAGAGGAAGAGCTTTTAGAACTTTGGCGATGAGGACAGAGAGCAGGGAGAGAGATGGACAGAAAAGGAAAGAGACAGAGAGATGGAAACAGGGAAAGTGGAGGGTAGCTCCCTTCCCATCCCTCCTCTCCTTCCTTCCCTATTTCATTCCTTCCTTTCTTCCTCCTGCAAAAAGCATTTGCTTGGCCTCAGGCATGATGCTGGATACACTTGGAAACACAGCAGTTATGGTCCCTGTCCTTGACGCATGTCCCTTGCCTCTCTCAGGAAAAAGAATTAAGTGCTAAGGGGAAACTCCAGCAGCCCGTGGGAACATCTGTCCTCAGCCCCTAAACTAGTATAGATGGTCAGGGAAGGCTTCCTGGAAGAAGACACGTGTGACTTCTGAGCTACTACCTACAGAGAGACATGAGAGTGTTGGGTGGGGGTCGGCCTGCGGGGGACGTTTCAAAAACAGTCGGGGGAACCCCACGTGCAAAGGTCCAGAGAGGGAAGACACAGCAAGACGCCCTGGAGAAGGAAGTTCCCTCTATCTAAAAAGGGTAGCGGGAGGGCAGGGTAAAGAGATGGCACTGGGGTCAGCAGGGACAAAGTCACAGGCTGCAAGGGTCAGGAACCATCTGCCAGTGAGAGCCTTCTGGGGTCATGGTGACAAGTCTGGACTTTCTCTTGAGAACCGGAAAAGCCTCCGAAGCTTGGGTCTCAGTGGGCTTCAGACATGCCCAGGCTTGCCTGGCGACCGTGTTCTGCGGGTCTGCCAGCTGTCAATCTGAAAGGAGACCCTCGGGAGGGACTTAGCCCCCCAGGAGGGAGCCGGACCCATCAGCCTGACCCCCAGGAGAAGCCCTGGCTATTTGAGGGAGGGTGAGTCTGAGGTCAGTTGGGGAGGGGGATTGTTCCTGGCTCTGCTCCCATTTGACACATGTCCATGTCCTGTGGATAGCCAGAGAGGCAAGCTGCAGAGTGGAGAGCTGGGGAGATGGAAAAAGTTGTCTCACTAAAGCCGGCTTGCAAACTCGTGGCCTGTGGGCTGAATCCAGCCTGAACAGCATTTTGAAACTTGGGCAACTTCATGCAGAAATCTGACTTTCTGGCTTTCTTTTAAAAAATGCCCCAAGATCTGGCAATCCTGGGTGCCAATTTTCACATGGTAGCCAGTAGCCTGAGCTAAATGGCAGCTGCCCCGTTTAGATGAGGTGTGGGCTCTGGTTCGCCCCAGTCCCCACTGTTCTCTGTTGCCTCATGTGTGACTCCTCTGGCTCATTTACATCGCTGGCCCCATTCAGGGTTTCACCGTTTCCCAGAAGGCTTTGTAAGACACGGGGGCCTAAACAACATAGCTTTGGGGCTCCTCTGCAGAGAGCAGCTTTGATTGTGCCTCTTTAAAAAAAAAAAAAAGATTTTATTTATTTATTTATTTGAGCAAGAGAAGGGGCACAAGCAGGGGGAGTGGGAGAGGGAGAAGCAGGCTTCCCGCTGAGCAGGGAGCCCGATGCGGGGCTCGATCCCAGGACCCTGGGATCATGACCTGAGCCGAGGCAGACGCTTA